AAATAAAACCAATGTAAACATAGTCACCAACTGTTGCTACATGCTGCTAACATGGGCTAATAGGAGGGTTAAAACTGCTAATATCTTGATCTACAGCCGTTTTTTAAAGTAGTCGTTTCAGTTCAGTTCTAAGAATTGAAAAGTTTCACATAACAGCATTATTGTTTACTTTCATAACAGTATAGTTTTACTCATAACATCACGGGTAACGGACCAATGAGTCTCAAGGATTGAGAGGGAAGAAGTAAAATTGTAATGATTCGAACTTCAACTAATCAGCTGTTCAGACCAATTCAATTGTTGACTGGTCCAATTAGTGTTTGGTACAATGTTTCGTCGCATCGCTGTCAAGGGCAATGAGAGGTTAAACGAAAACATAATCCCTCTTAAAAGTTATAAGTAGTGATTTTTAGTAATTAAAACACTGTCGTAGGTAAAGTAGTGTACGCAACTCACGTGAATAGCGTTAACGACACTCGTAGAAGTTTTTAAGGTATTGCCAAGGCTTGTACCTTAAATTGTCTACTCGTGTCGTTAACACTATCTTTATGCAATTGTTGCGTAAACTACTATGACGAATGTTTTAAAAGGTTTGAATGGTATTATATATCCATTTTCTGACAGATATACAGGTTTGAGTATCTATTTTAAGTTAACTATGAGTGGAAGATAAGTGTGCAATAATAGAGTAGAATATCTAAAGTCTTGATATTGAACCTAAGTCTTGAACTATTAAATGCAATAACCCCCGGTATTGTATTCAAAAGACAACAACAGTCTGATAAGGTATCTAAACTATGCACATATTCACTTTCTGTATTTATTTGCAGCTTGTGAGTATAGAACGGAGTAAAACTCCTCGTATAGTTTTGTAACTGATAGCCAGTTGTTTTATCAACCACGAACATTTATTAACATCCCAAAAAAGTTTTGATGGCTGTGTTTCCACTAAAACTCTCCTGACCTTTCTCCCAATCGAACCGGTTGACTTTGGTTACTGTCTACGTCCCCAGTATTGACACACGGTGTGAATGCACCGTAGTTATGTAATTTGACGGACGAGGAAGCCATAAACAGTCGCCGGACTTCACAAGTAGCACGACACGCGCTGTTGGCAGTTGACCGCACATGACGTCACGAGTGGACACTGATCGGGGAAGCGGTGGAACGCCACTGCGGTCTAACGCCACTGCGGTCTAACGCCACTGCGGTCTAAACGCCACTGCGGTCTAACGCCACTGCGGTCTAAACGTTAGCCCACCCTGTCAATCGTGTGGAAAAATAATTGACGTAACTTACGGTACTACAGTTGTTGTAGTTCAGAAACTGCTATGCATCCTTTTGTGAGTGTACATATCCACAATTTCATACGGAGAGGGAAGGAGGTCAAAACCCTTAAAACCTTTGATATATAATATAGAATAGAATCGTTCATTGGCATTGAACATATACAAGTAATAGACAGTTTCCCATTTCAAATTATATTGAGCGTAAATTAAGTCACGTTTATGAATATCGCATTATTCAAAAACACAGAGTCGAATTATCCAATAACTTATTTATGTGTTTTCCACAAGCCAGGCAAAGTAATGTTTCATCCATGGTTTTACTGTAACGTTCTGGGTTTTCTTTTTGTCCTTTTAGAGGTAGCTAAAAATAGCTTAGCACCATTGACTAGTTTCAAAGCTAGCACGCAAAACTTCAAATGATTTTGAAGCTTTACTAAACCTGAATCTATCAACATATTGAGACTGACATGTCCTGGTAAATTGAATATGGACCTCATTTGACAGAATAAGATTCTTATAATTAATTTTACATAAACTATACAAGACTAGACTAGATACATTGGGAAGGAGCCCAATGCCCAATGTACCCTCTCAAATCGAAGTCCGATTTGCTAGCTGCTATAAACCTAACTTTATCCTTTAGTCCACTCAGGGTAAAAACAATTGACGTTACTTATAATCTATTGGTGGGATTACTTATTCATTGCCGTAATTCAGTTTTTCTTTAGTGTTTTCGCTAATGGGGTTGTAGTATGGAAGATTCACACATACTCAACGTGAAATTCTCAATATATTTTGACCTAACCTCTGGTAGGTTTTCCTCATTTCGTCTCCCACACCAACCAAAACCATTTCTAAGGTAAATAAGAAAACTACACGTTCGAGTATTCTTGAAAAATCACTGAAACCATCGCCGTAACCACGTAGGAAACAGTTCATCAGATGAGGACACTATTGAGGAAAAACTTTCGCTCGGTTGCAGGAAACTGTTGTTTCACTAATAGGTCTAATTTCGGCGCGGTTGATCATTTTCCCTCCATAATTACGACAACGGCGACTTGTGACAGGACGGATCAATGACCAGTCTTAGCCTAGATACTTACGCTTGCAACCGGGTCTTTAATGGCACTGTTATTTTGTAACTGTTACTTACCACGACTTTGAGACGTTAAGTTTTATGTGAAGTAAATGCACCCTGCGTACATGTAAAGTCTGAGAGGTTTACCACTGTTGACCTGCTTAACACATTCACTGCGTAACACAAGTTCTGTAGTTTCAGTAACCATATCTGTTCGTGGAAGCTATTTTCACTTTTTTTGTGATTCAAATTTACTGGAATACACTGAATGTGGTGCAAAAATAAGAGTCCAGAAAAATCACAGATAAGATAAAATATTGACAGGTCTGTGGGTTAATTTGAGTGCTTCACTGAGGTTTAAGCGTAAAATTTGGGTGATAAATTGAGTCAACTTTTTTTCAATACAACTGTGACAGCGAATAACACATTACACCTCACACAAAGAGCAGTTGCGTAACATAGTTGATATGTGATTGTAACATCTAACTGGTTTTATGTCTGACATTGAAAATGTACCAATACTTTGCTATGTCCACTTATCCAAGGATTTCAACATATCAGAAATGTATTAATTTTATTTTGACTACAATACTAGACATATAAAAAATTCACCCCTCCAGGAAAAAATAACACAAGTTCTTTTTTAAATACGGTGTTTGGTAAAAGAAAAACTTATGGAAAGAACCTTGATCAAATACGACGTCAAGTTCGCCCAATCAACTACGATTCACGTTCTCAGAATGCGTCAAAGTTGCGTACTCTCTCTACCTAGGTTTAGTTCTGAGAATTCTTTAACTACTAATTGGATTGGCTACAACTGATGCAATTCTATGACGGCCAGACTTATTTGGTCTTGGAGGGATATAGTTTGAATAAGAGGTACAGGTTATGATGATTAGAAAGTTATTTTACTACCCAAGACCAGCTGCTACACAGCTTATTTACAAAATATGTGTAATGTCCGAACTTAATAAAATGAGTTGAACCTCCTCCTTTTTAAATTGTTCATACTTGTGAATTAACTGAAAAGAACCTACACCAATATCAATCTTCACCTACACATTGCTATTCACTACGTAACAACTATCATCTTAAATTGTCATCTCTCTCGACGATATTTTAAGTGACACTTCCATTATAACAGCATTCAACTTTTTAATCTATTTCCTCCCTCCCTTCAGCTGGAGTCGGACTAGAACCGCTTTGTAGAAGGCAAATACAAAAAATACTTCAGGCCAAGAGTTGCCACAGTGATGGGTTTAGTTAGTTTTAAAAGAGTATATTATAGGTATAATTTGATTGAAGCACCATTGTTTTTTTTGTCGTAAAGATATTGACATGACTAATGCTAATTTTTTATTTGTTATTTTTGTTGAATAAATAATTTTTACTGAAACAATTAATTTTAAGCTTATGTCTCTGTTCGGTGCATGCACGAAAAAAATTAAATATCAAATATATAGCAATTTAATTTTTATATACATTTGGTTTTAAACATTTGCTGCTAAAATCCTTTATATGCTTCTTTCTTTACGGTTTGTGCTCAGTGTCACCGTTTGGCCGACATGACACTTTCTCAATAAGCCATTTTGACATTTCCATGTCATCTAAAGTAGTAGACAATTCATGACGTCATCTCTGATATTGCACCCACAGTTCCTTGAATTACAGCTGACCGATCTTTCCACTGATCCCGTTGCATAGCAGACAGTTTATTACGTCACCCAGCTTGTCTTGTCTGCCAGAAAGCGAGGGAAAACAGCCATAAAACAAGCGGTATTTTGCATATGTATTGTTCCTCTCACTCTCTCACTGATGGCGGGAGTTTCAGCTTCCTTCAGTCTTATCTATGAATCAACGTTTCTTGACAACCTATGATCTTTTTGTTTACAAATTCGGTAATTATTTGAGTTTCTCAAAGAACAGCTGTAATTTAATTGAGAACCCGGACTAGTTTGGAAATCACCCTTTGCGCAAGAAGCATGAAAGTAAAAAATTTTAAGCATGAGAGTATGTGTAATGTTTTGATGGCAACAAACTTTAAGCAATTTCGTCTTCAAAATTCTATTTTATTTTTTTTTTCTTTAAAATTGTATTTTGTTATTATTATTACTGTTAGTTTTGGGTTTTTCATTTTATATATGCACTTGCTTAGCTTACTGGCAAGATAATTAAAATGTTTAGTATTGAAGAAATATGCACGAACTATTTATACACAGATTTACTAGAAACGATGTGTTAACCAAAGATTGATCGGTAAAGTGAAACAAAACAATCTAACCCTTTGATTAGAAAATAATATCCCGCAATGGCCAGTTTCTTGGTTGTCTTCTTGTTTTAATAATTTTAAAATTTAATAAGTATCCCAATGTTGTGTTATTTTTACATAGTTAATACTAAAGCTAAATCTTTCAAACTTTTCGTTTTTCTTAATAGAAAATCTTTTCGATAGACAGAGTAAATCTTTTTACTCCTTAAATTCTAAATCTTGGTTGCTAAATTCCCCAATTGATGTCTTTATGTGGATCAGGAATCTGATACAATTTCCACACCTGAACACCACAGCAAGGTTTAAAACTCTATACAAATCTAATGTTTGAATAACAAATGTATATATTAATTTAAACACAGCATTCTTCAACAACCTTTTGAGTCTTTAATATAGTTTACCAATTCATAACACAATCATAATTCTTAAACTCTAGCATTTCTTCTTGCCATGAGACTTCTTCTTTTTGCAGCTTCGAGTAACTCTGCTAAGTGTTACAGTTGGTTCTTCTATCTGATCTTCCATCTCCTCTGCATCAAACTGGTCTTCAAGACCATCTTCATCTTCCATTTCCTCAAGGGATTCTTCAACGGTGTCTGGATTCTGGTTTCCATCTTCTCCAAGGGCTTCTGCAAGTTGTTGTGCAAAGTCTAAATCAGCTTGGATATCTCCCTGAGCTTGAGCTTGGGCTTGGTTTTCAGCTGGGAAAGCTGACACCCAAGCTATGGCGACCACGAGAACGATTATTATCTGGAAACAATGTTTCTGTTGAAGAAAATTTTTCATTTTAAAAATAATTATTTGTTGCCAATTATTTGTAAATTATATGAATAATGAAATCTCCTAAGTGTCATATTACAGTTTTAAAAATATAATAAAAAGATAAAGCAAACACGTTGGACGTGTTATTAGAAATATAACATTTAAATCAACGTTTAAGGTACGACTTCTGGGGTTTTAGATTTAAACAACCCATCTTTTAAGGGTCGTAAAGGAGAATATTTCTTGTATGACTCATAACACAGAGTATTGACTTTGAGCTAAACAGTAATTTTTTTACATATCTAGAATATTCCGCACAACTTCTAGAACTTTAACTAACCACAACGATCTAAACAATTTTTAACTAATAAGTCGATTATTGCAAAGAAATTATAGGAAAATATTAATCTATTTTTTTTATTCTAATAAAAATACTAGCACACCAAGAAGCAGGTTTATTACACCACATTAGCCTAAATGTTGGAACTCACCCTGTAAGCAACCATATCCTAGCGTGTTCTCTGCGAAACTGTAGCATAATCGTTCTTCGAACCCTTTAAATTGGTGCAAAAATTTAAGCAAATTCACATTTGCCGGTAGTCAAGCATGGTTTTGCGTGGTTCTGCATACTCTTTGGTACTTATGTTAAACAACAAAGTTACATGTGTCAATATGACATCAATGTCAACGCCTTGCTGAAGGCGAATCGTTTTACATAACGGAAGGTTATAAAAAATCTATAGCTTTAAAGGCTTTATCTTAATTGTTTTTCAATTAAACAATTGAGACAGTTACCAACTATTTATACCGGTAGAAATATCTGTGGGTTGTGTAATTTCTGTTAATCAAAGAAAACCCTAAACCGAGTTGTAGAAATATTGGTATCGTAGTTATAATGCTAAACCTAGCTGTCCCTACCCTGAGGAGTTGCACATACTTGTATCATTACAAAAGAGTTGTAAATACCCCCGCCGCAGCAAACCTGCAGACTAAGCGAATTTCCATTTGCCAGATTTGATTTTCAATTAAATCTATTCAATTAAATAGGTTTAACGAGTACCTAGGTATGCTGCCTACAGGGTAATAAAGTGTGTTTTTTAGTAAAATATCAATAGCTTAGTATAAAATAAATAGATTGGCCAAGTTTGATCCAAATATATGCATAAACAAGCAAACTACAAAAGTTTACTTATTCTCCATAAGAATAACATAGGAATTTTTTATTTATAATTTTCTCCGTAACCAAAAACCATACAAAAACACTTCAGTATACTGAATTATTGGTTTTTTTAAGCTCTTCAAAATGGTTTAGAAGAAATTTGGGAAATTTTATGTTTTGAGGGTCAAAAATGAGAAAAACCAATTTTTACCCCATAAATCCCCCCATAAAACCCCGTTCCCATGGTCCGATCATGCTGGTTCGCGAACTCGTTCGAATAAACGTAGGTTTACACGTTTGTACCAAATTTCATCGAAATCGGATCATTTTTGCTCGAGTTATCGTGCTAACGGACACACACATATATACATATATGAATTTGAACGGATGGTGTTTTTGGCTTCTAGGGACATCAAAATGAAAAAGTAAATCGGTCCCGGGACTAAGTCTTACCATGAGACCTACGGTAATAGCTTATTCCCTATAGGGAAATTCGCTAAAAAAGGGCAGATCCTTACAGGTAATCTGCATGCTACCTACTATTAGAAAACTGGGGATTAAGATATAGTTTTTTGGTCGATGTACGTACCCAAAGTCAACATATAGGCCTTATTGGGCCTGAATTTATTATCAAATAGATGGTGGGCACTGGGCAGCTTACAAATTATAGTTACGGAAAGTAAATAAAAGAAACGTCTTATAACACTTAAAACATATATTTACGCTTATACTGTTACTCACAAGACGGTAAATATACAAAAAAGATGGTAATTGGTGATCGATTTCGATTGGACACTCCAATCATCATCAGACCCAATAGGCGAATGACCCTATTGGACTGTACTTTAGATCATTTATATTAGGTTCCCACCTAATATAAATGATCTAAAGTACAGTCCAATAGGTTCAGCGAAATGGACAAGTCGGGACAAGCAATAAGTGAATTTATTTATTTATTTATTTAGTTTATTCCTAAAGGGTCGTCTACAAAATTCAGTTGTTCTTATAAATACAGAGTAAGACAGAGTTTTACGCTATTCAACACTAAAAAAGGTGCTGCATTCTCTTACTACTAAATTGTAGACCTACTGTTATATTAGTAACTAGCTGTAACCCGCGGGCTTTGCCCCGTTTAACTTATTAATTTTCAAGATTATCTCGTTCGCATGGCTCAATCACGTCCTGGTTGAAGTTTGTTCGCTACGCTCACTCACCTTTAGGTTGGAGCTCGTTCGCTACGCTAACTCGCCTCCAGGTTTAAGTTCGTTCGCTACGCTCACTCACCTTTTGGTTGCAAATTAGCTGTTGTCATAAATGTAAAAGAAATAATAGTGCTGCATCCTGTTGGTAATCCTTGTAACTTTAATGCTATTGAACATCATATAACAGAACCAACTTGTTTAATTGAAATAGCTGTTAAGATTCAATAATTCAATTTCTCATTAGGTTAACATGGGAAACTCCAGAGCCACTGGGGGCGGAGCCCGAAAGGATTTTTGAAATAAGAATATGCCTATATGTTAATCGGGAATGTGAGCTATCATCATGCCAAATTTCAGCCCAATCCGACCAGTATTCTTCGCGTTCACTTGTCACAAACATACATCCATACATCCAAACTTTCTCATTTATAATATTAGTAGGATACAGGGTAAGGCAATGAGAACGCTACAATTTGTTTTACCTGTCACATGTTAATTGTTGCAACAATGAATGATCAGCTGTGCTTAAAACATCAATTAAACTATGCCATTTTAGTAAATATTATGCCTGAGGCTATTAACACTGAGATTTTGATGTGGAAACCTATTTATAAAATAGTGGTTCTTGTGCAAAAACCCAGAGATTGTTTGGACCGTATTCCATCCTCCAGATTTGCTTGAACCGAAGCTAAGGATAGTCCAAAAACTAAAGTGATTCCTGAAAAATTGCTGGAGGAGTATTTGATGGAGTTTCAAGTGGCTAAAAAGGAATGCCAAGTAGGACAATGAAGTCACTTGTAGGAATTTGTTCTCAGAAATGGAAAAATGACTTTGTTAAGTTAAAATGGCAAAAGATAAGCTGTGTTTTGGTGTGCTATTTATATCCATAGGGTGAATATTATTGAGTTTGTACTGTTTATAAATTGGGGCGCTTTCATTGCCCCACCCTTTACTAATACCTCTTTAAGGGAAATTTAAACGTCTACCGAAGATAATTATGCATAAAATCTCCAACAACATTATTATAGCTATTCCATAAAAAGCTAACCCATAAGTATTTTAAGCAATTTAACTTATTGCATGAATATCCTGGCAACAGCTTAAATGACTTAGGACTCGTAAGAATTAATTGAAGTGAACTGTGAACTAGCATAAATGGTTCTTGGTATAGACTGCTAAGTACACTCAGTTCTTCTATCTCACGTATATTGTACTCATAAAAAGAGTTAACATACTTATCGATTTTAATGACTCGTTATTTGGGTTTTTCTTCACATAAATAATCATATCCACCCACTCGAGACATTTAAGTTAATCGTAATTGGCTCGACAGTATTCGTTTATAGTACAGTACAATTTGTTCTAAAACTGGCTAAACAATTAACAATAGGATTTATACTTCTACCACTTCATTTAAATGTATTTATCGTGAAATGTTTAACACTCTAACTACTGTAATTTGGACTTAAATTTGTAGAAGGAAAAATAATAGCTCAGAGGATGACAAACAATTTTTAATATAACCATTATTTATTCCCATAGGTCCCTTTACGTTCAGTTGAGGATTTGTTTAAGGCATTAAGTATGATATCTGAGGAATAACTTTTATCATCTTTCACTTCTCTCTTCCCTCTGTAGCCTCCTCCCTTTCCCCTTCCACCACACCCCTTCCTGTTGCCACGACCTCTGTGACCCCCATGACCCCCATGACCCCTGTGACCTCTGTGACAGTTCGAGCGAGATCTTCCCTGTGGGTGACAGCTGGAGTGCCTTTGGCAGCTTTGCCGATTAGGTCTTCCGCTGGGTTTGCGATTTCTAGGAGGAGGTTTACATTGGTGACTTGGACGATGATCGTGGTCATCGTCATCGTCATGGAAGTCATCATGATATTCCTCGTGATGATCCTCATGATGATCTTCTTGTTCGTCATCATAATCTTCATATACGTCATTGAAATTTCTTTTGGAAGACACTTCGAAGTTCACCTCGAATTTCGCTGGTTTGGATTCATACTTGGAGTACTTCTTGTCTTGTTTCGAGTCTTTGATGTGGTCTAGCAGTTTTTGAGCGAAGTCGAAGGTTTTATCGTCAAGCAGTTTGCTAATGTCTGGCATCTTGTCTTTGTGCGCTAAAGTTGGGGCTGATAAGGATATGCAGAAAATAGTCTGAAAATAAAATTGAAACAAATAGTGTATTCTTCCAAGTTGATAAAATAATATTGCAACAGCCATGCTGTTTACGAATACAAATCCAAAACTGAACATTACAATACTTAACACAATTAAATTCCATATCTTGCTGAGAAATCTTTGATAAAGAACATTAATTTAATTACTTTGTTTGAAATTAATTTTAGTAGATTTAGTTTTATTATTTTTTTTTTTTCTACTTAAGAGACATTAGATAGGATTTCAAAAGATTTAAATGCATTTTTGATCGTAATGAAAACGTACAATCCCAAATGACTTGTTACAATCATGTGGACAAGAATATTTTGCGGGATTAGTGCCCGGCGTTTAGTCGAAACTAACTTCACAACAGACGAACAAATGCCAGCGTTGCCTTGATTACAGGCACTCTGAGATAATGCGTCAACCTTATAATTTGGGGCTAATTTGATAAAAATGTTACAGTTATTCTTTTACTAAAAATGGATTAATTTGTGTTTTGCTTAAAGAACAGTTAGAGATAAAGCTTTAGGTGAAATTTGTCTTACCACACAGTGTGTTTTAACAGTGTTTGAAGTTTGAATGCTTTTGGGATCAAGCGGGATTTTAAAATTATAACAACGATCTTGTAATAAATCGGCAATATACTTAACATTAGTTATAAGTATTTCATTAAAATAAACCAAGAGTATTTTATTTTATGAGAGTTTATTTAATTTTATACGTTAAGGCTACAATATGATTACTCTCTAGTGTTATTGTGTGAAAATTTACAAACAATTTTATTAGAAAGCAAATTTTAAAACAAATTGGAATCATGCTTTCAAACATTTAAAATTATAATTGTAAGTTTTTAAACCCTCAGCCAAGATGTTTCTTTGTACAAACCCAACAAAAAATAACATATTTTCAAAACATTTAATAAAAAAAAAAATATGTATTTCTATCTTATATTAAATTGTTAAATCAACTCACCATTGTAAAAATATTCATTTTTGCTATCTTCGATGACATTATTTTCTTAACTGCCTAAAAACGAATAATGTTGTACATTCGTAGACACGGGCTTTCTCGAGATAAAAATTTACAGCATTGAAACTTTTTACTTAACGATAATATTTGTTATTATTTTTAACTACTTTGTGATTGAACTAAAAGTCAAGTAAAGCTATAGCTCTTTGGAAGACTTTTAGACTATAACTATGGTTTATTTAGCAAAATGCAGATTAGGAGTTAGGACACGGTTGTTATCCCGGTGCCGACAAACCTGCTGTCATCCGAAACAAACATCTTTGCTAGGTAAACAATCACGAACAAACATAACGCATTGACAGTGAATTGTATGGAGAGAGCGTTGAACTTATGTAGACACTGTGTGGAAGTCCATACATAATAAATACGCACAACTGAGTAAATATAAATATTATTGTACTAAATATACACCGTGTCCCAAAAATAATGGATCATATCTACAGCTTAATATACGTGTTACCAAAGGTCATAGAAAAGTCAACTATGGCTAATTTTAAAGCTGATATCTTAGAGTTTCGTCGGTACCCTTCAACAGAAATCAGCTGTTCCATTGTTGTAGCCTGTTTGAATTTTTTTTTATTAAGCTGCAATATAGTAAATGGAGTTGCAGTTGAAAGCACAGTGTATTGAATGGTTTATAAAGATAAAATCTGTGGTGTGATTTCTTTAGGTCTTGGGGTTTGTGAAAGGTCATGTGTGTCTATCGCTCGTTCATCTCAATTATAGATCAATTTAAAGCAAAGATAAGGGAAGCCTTTGGAAAAAAATACACGACAATTTGCAGTCAGAGCTGGAACATTGACTTGACTTTCTTTGACTAAATAGCGGAGAACATGTAGAGATTAGGCGGGGAAACAATAGTAGGAAAAACTTATGAAGTTAAGGAAAAAGGTGTATATAAAGTAAACTTTTAATCTTTAGTAATAAAGTATTTATGCAAGTTTACTTTTGATCCACTCTTTTTGGGACACCCGGTATAATCAATCAGTGAGTATGAGTGTGTGGATAGAATACCAGGGATTGTCACACACAAAACACGAACATCGTGGTCGGACAGAACAATCCTTATACGTCGAACACTAAATACAAGCATGTTCAGGAATAAGGCATCACGACTAACGTGACTTTGGTAGTCACGTATACTATCATGGGACAACGTGACTACAGGACGAACATGTTGTGATGTTTACATGTTGTGTAATATAACTACTGTACTTCCAACCTATTATTTCGCGAAAAATAATCAACCACAATTCCAAGGTGTAGGATTCATTTGTTCGGATGAATCCTAAAAAATGCTTTTCTCCTGAGTTGTTAATTGATTTATGCACCGAGAAGTCTAGTGTATAATAAAATAACATTTTTTGATCCCGCACTGATTTTTGATTTTCTTCCTTCAGGGTTCTTGAGTAAAATGTTTTTTGACAGAGAACTTAATTTATTTCAGAGGATGTGTTGTTATGTGTTGTGTTTGGCTTGAAATTAACTGTTGACGATATAAATAATTCAAAAATGCTCTTTGCCAATGAAATTCCTTGTGTTTAGGCTCTAAAGTGATCCTGCGCAGTGTGAGTGGGCTGTTCAAGTCTGGTCAACTGACAGCTATCCTAGGACCATCTGGTGCTGGAAAGAGTACCCTTCTCAACGTCCTGGCAGGATACAAGTCAGTATACTTTCAAATCCATACATACCCTCTTCCATACTGGTCATTCCTGGGGTTTTTGCGCCAACTCAACACTTTGTCAAGTTCAGGTTGGCCGACGGACCCGGGACTACCTGAGGGCGAGACACAGCGAGGTATCATAGGGGTGGCCTCAAGGTAGTCGGCCAACCTGAACTTGACAAAGTGAATATAATATATAGGGCTATAGGACCTTTCTCTTCTTTTTTTATCTACCATTACACTCCTTTTCTTCTTTCATCAGTTTTCATCTCACCTCCACCTTCTTCAACACCTCTCTCTGTCTCCTTTCCCTCTATCACTACAAACTCAATTCCCTTGTGAATTCTCTCTTTGAGTTAAAAGTAAATGCACTCAATTAATTTCCAAAAGTAGTGCGATATCTTGTCCATTCCATTTCATTCTTTTCAAAACTTGATTTTAAGGATGATATTGCAGACAATCAGGCATATGTAAATCTCAAAGTGTTACCAATATAATGTTGATAAAGTTCATTACATTGCCTCTAAAAATTCAATAATGACAATTGGCTATACCTTATCAGTACCAAAAGTGGGCAAGCAAGATGACCTGTTTTGGCTGAATACCATTCAAATGCTTCAATCCCATAGTTTTTGGGTACCGAGTACAAGAGAAATGTGAAAAGTGTGTCCTAGAGCTACCAGATACCTGCTTCATTTATACGTTGTGAAAACTAACTGATCCATCTGATGCCATCTTTTAGATTGTGATTGTGATAAACTTGTTACAGAAGTGGGGATGCCAGTGGCAGCATCATGATCAACGGACAGCCACGGGTGTTGAGGACGTTCCACAAGATGTCGAGGTACATCATGCAAGAAGATCTGCTCCAGCCCAGACTAACGGTGATGGAGAGTATGATGATAGCTGCTGATCTCAAGTTAGGCTACACAGTGCGGCGGAAACAGAAAGTTGAGATGGTCAGTGTTTGAAAGTGTTCTCTTTTTCAGATGTAATTAATAAATGAAGGATATAATATAGAACCTTAGCAGTGGTGCAGTTGTAAATTTAAGTAGGTATAGGTTATTTGCAAAGAGCAGAGTGAAAAACCGTTCCCAATTTCCCGCTCCACTACACCACTGGAAGTTATACAGATTTTGTATGTACTTTACTTGTACTGTATACAAGCTTGAGTAAATTCCACTGCGTAGTATTATTTCCTGCATGGTTAGTTGGATACTGTAGACCAATTTAGGTGTTAATTTATTCTGCTAGGTCACATTTCAATTTATTCTTGAATTATTCCATTTTTTCTTTATCGTACGTGTATTTAGGAAACTTGTGAATTTTGCATTCCAAATTTCTTACCTTATACTTATTTGTTATGTGTGTCATTTATCTACATTATTTATTGATATTTATTCCTCCAGATCAATGAAGTACTAGAGCTCCTAAGACTGACTAAGTGCAAGAAGACTTTGACCGGCTGTCTGTCGGGAGGAGAGCGCAAACGAGTGTCCATCGCACTGGAACTCGTCAACAATCCTCCTGTCATCTTCCTAGATGAACCCACTACGTGAGTAATCATAAACAAGTTGAGAAAAGTCAGTACGGACAGTACCTGGCTTTAATCATAAAATCCAAATTCAAAAACACTTGTATAAGAGAAAATTTCTCAAGGTTCACATCCAATATCCTAACATATGTTCTTGTTCCGCAGAGGTCTAGATGACATGTCCAGCTCACAGTGTATCTCCCTGCTGAAGAACCTGGCTCACGGGGGCCGCACGGTGATCTGCAGTATCCACACCCCCAGTGCCAGACTGTTCTCTCAGTTTGACCATGTCTACATCGTCAGTGAGGGACAGTGTGTGTTCCAAGGTCGGGGAGAAGACATTGTACCCTTCCTGGCGAGCCTGGGCCTCCACTGTCCCAAACATTACAACCCTGCTGACTTCAGTGAGTGGTAGAATAAGGGATCTGTGTAAATTGTTATTGTGAGGTTGTTGTGAAAAGGGGATGGATACTAAACATTTAATTATGAAAAAAAATAATTGTCGGTACTTGATTAGTAAAAAAAGGAGTACTGCCGGATAATACAAACATACAAATATTTTTGACCCAAAATAGACAATTTTCCCAGCATTAAGTATTATGAAAGCTTTGTAAGTAATTTACTGAGCAAGCTTAGTTGAAAGAGGTGGCCATCATGTTCGGAATGAACGAGAAATGATTTGGTTGCAGTGAATTATTAATATTTTACTGAACTGAGTTGTTTTTAATTATTGTTGCAAAACAAGCTATTAATAATTTACCTATACTGTATCAGCATTTTCCGAAAACTTTGTCTTCAACAATAAATTTAATTTTGCTAAAATATAGATTCCTAAACTGTGTTCCATTGTGAATCTTGAATCCTCAACAAGGCTCTAGCTTTGGATGGTTTTTTACATAACTTCAGAGAATTCATTTATTGAATTAAGGGATAAGGACAATCCTTGGATTGGTCTGACTATAATCAGTCAAAGGATCTATAATTTGGAAATCACAAGTCATTAGTTAACCTCAAAGGAATAGTTCAACACATTGTTTTTATAACATGAAAGCAGGACTTTTCTGCTGCAGTGATCGAAGTGTCTAGCGGAGAGTATGGAGACCACACGGAGAGGATGATGATGGCTGTGGACAACGGACGATGTTATCGCTGGAACCAGACACTGAGGGTACAAGATGCTAATGTGGAGGGTGAGTAAGGAGAAGATTATAGTAAAACATAACTTTGGGTACATTTTTATACACAAATACTGGAAGTACATAGTCTTCTTTTTTAAGAGGTTTTAACCTTGCATTTGCCTGTCCACATAGACTACGGATCTGTGTGAATGTGCATTACAAGGGTGAAGTGTAATAATAAAAGTACCATATGCAAGCAATAAGCATAAGTATTGCAAGCATAAGTATGTATAAGCAGGTACCAGGATCCGAACCATGGCCGGAAGTCCATGGCACTACCGACTGAGCCACCAACTCAAAAATTTCCTTTCTAATATTCTTTAAATATAATCATGAACAATTGTTAAGGCTTTTCTCATTAATTAAAATAATAGCTTGTGATATAGGCTACATACTGTAGCCAATGACAACGATATACATAGGAAAGCGTATGGAAAATTAAGTTAATAATATTGAAATGGTACGGTTTAATTTTTTATTGCATTTTAAAGGCTCTTTGCTCTTGATCTTGGATGGACATTGTAATTTAAATGTCTTGAATGTACAAATATTATTTGGAGAGTCCGTGGTCAAGTCAGCAGTGGGATGGACTGCAAAACCAAAACAGTGATGTTGTGTGTTCTCATCCAGGATACAGTATAGTTCAATCTTGTACATTATACCAGTTCCCCCGTTTTTTGCTTGGTACATTCCATGCACAGACTTGAGATCCATGTGGACGTAGAAAAGAAAATGTAAGGCGTGGTTGCCAACCTCACAAAAAAATTCCTTAACCAATTTTTTTTCCTCAAATATGCCGTAAGTACGGCCAATATACTATTGTTAAGTATTTGTTGTAAATATTGCCATACATTTTAACACATTCGATGCGGCGGGTCCACCGGTGGACCCCGCGCATCTCAGCTGAGGAGCGGGGGGTACACGGGTGGGGGAGCGCGCCATGTCATGTTTATTGTTTCAATGTGAGCTCAGCCATTGTCGGGGAACGTTGTAATCTTTACCAGCCTGTAGCTTATAATGCGAGCGTTATTCTGGTGTAGGTTGGTACAAAAATTGCCCGTAAAATCCCGTCTGGCAATGCTTTTGTCCCGTTTTCGGGGATTTTCTCAGTTCGAGCCGTATTACAAAGACTCTGGTTATTGATCCAGGCAGTGCTGCTACCTTTGGGTGTTTCAGTGAACTACGTCCACTTTCGGAGTAACGCAGAACAATCACCACTGCTCTTTTGTGATTCGTCTTACTGAGATATTTCAATACCAATAGCGATCGCTGATTCAGTTAGCGCGTCGGGGCTCCGCCCGGGCCTCGCCGCCATTGGCGAGCGCCTGTTTAAAGATTTCAGCGAATGTGTTAATAACATATTTGACTACATACAGGATTAATAAAAGTTTTTAAAAACACCTCTTGCTTATCACAGAGTTTCCAATTCAGGATATGACATAGTAATTGTTCATTTTTTCCTTTACCCTTCAGTATTCGTTTCCTACCAGCTCCGGAACAACTCATCCAAATCTCTTGTCTGACCTTCCTCAAAACAAAATCCCGGACCCGTCACTGTTTTAGAATGGCTTTAACTATGAAATAAATTTCAGACATCAAACTATCAAGAGAAGAGCTCCACCAGCTGAAACACCTGTATGACTTTGATAGCTCGGGTTGGCTACAATTCAGGATACTCATGTATCGTACCTTCCTACAACATTGGAGAGAGGCTGTGAGTAGTTTGATCAACAACGTATCTGCAGCTATACTCATAACTTGATTTTAGTTTTAACTATTGACATTTAACTGAACATAGCCAATAGAACATCTATTGAATGAGTCCCTATCAGAGCGTGCTACTTACAATCTAAAATTATATATTTGAAATTTGTTACCCTCTTTTATTTGAAGGTTATTTAATTATCTTTTGAATACTAAGTGGACATCTCATCTCTATGGACCAGTTCATGAGTTGAATAAGCCACTCGCAGATCGTGATGTTGTATGAATAATATTTTGTCGCTTAGTTTTGCGAAGATAGTTGAATTGAGTTAAAAGATTAAAGTTTACCGGAGGGGATGGGTCTCATCATTTTTTTAAGGTCTCATCGTTTTTTAATGTCTGATCATTTTAAAGTTGGCCTGTTAGGAAGAAATGAGTAATTGGCTTAATTCAACTCTGGTCATTTTTATTTTAAAACTGCCTGAACCATTAAGGCTACATCTGAGATCTCTACTTTTATTGTGATAATCAAAGGTTTTCCAGTGACATTTAGTAAGAGAGAAAACTAAGTTAAACAATTTAAAAAAATACCTTAGTCTAATCTCCCAACTTTTTTTGGGCAAGCCAGGGATCACTTATCCTCCCACTTAAGTAAAAGTTAATATGATTTCTCCTAATTACTGTTAAATTGTTGAAAAGAAAATTATTTATTTATTGATATTGATATGGCTAAAAATACATTGACTTAGTTTTAGTTAAATACATAGGTACAACATATCATAAGTAAATTAAATGACATTTCTTCTATAGTAAGATATAATAGATAAGATAAGCACTTGGAATTCCTTCACAAAATTAATCATCATGAGGTATCTTTGAAGCATGCGTCTGAATCAAATTTCAATAATAGGAAAACAAATCAATGGATTCTAAAGATTCTATATTATTATGTATTATGTATGCAAATGGTAAATGTAGAATATAGACTAAATTCTGCACAGTAGAGATAAAAATGTACGTAATCAAAATAGATTATTGAATTTGGTTGCTTGTTTCAGGGCTACATACTTTTCAAGGCTGTGATGCACGTATTCATAGGTCTCATCATTGGAGGTCTGTTCTACCAGATGGGAAATGACGGATCAAAAACAATCTTCAACTTTGGATTTTGTTTTGTCACAATCATAATCTTCATGTACATTCCCATGTTACCCGCACTCTTGAATTGTAAGTTAAAGAATATTTTTTTTAACTATGATCTTTTAAAATCCTCATTACATGTATGTAGCTCCCTAAATAAATACTAAAAAAAAAAAGTGCTCGCCAACTTTTATACAGTATCTGATACAGTTGTGAAAGGAATTGTAGCTTTAAAGGTTGGAAACTGGACCCAGCTGTTCATGATCATTGATTGGGCTTTAAAAAATAAATGATCCAGGCTAATGGAACAGCTGGTACTGACAGTTTGGTAGTGTTTTTGAGTTTGACATTTTTGGCGAATTTCCCATATAGGGAATTGGCGAATTTCCCATATAGGGAATAAGCTATTACCGTAGTACTCATGGTAAGACCTGGACGCGGGTCCGATTTTTTTTTTCATTTTGAGGTCCCTAGAGGCCAAAAACACCATCCGTTCAAATTCATATATATATAAATATATTTATATATATATATATATATATATATATATGTGTCCGTTAGCACGATAACTCGAGCAAAAATGATCCGATTTTGATGAAATTTGGTACAAACGTGTAAACCTACGCTTATTCGAACGAGTTCGCAATCCAGCATGATCGGACTATGGGAACGGGGGTTTACGGGGGGTTTTATGTGGTAAAAATAGGTTTATCCCATTTTTGACCCAAAAAACATAAAATTTAGCAATTTCTTTCTAAACCATTTTGTAGAGCTTAAAAAAACAAATAATTTAGTATATTGAAGCGTTATTATGCGCCTAATGGTTACGGAGAAAATTCCAAAAAATTGTAAATTTAAAATTCCCATGTTATTCTTATGGAGAATAAGTAAATTGTTGTAGTTTGCTTGTTTATAAACATATTTTGATCAAATTTGGAAAATGTTTTTATTTCTTACTAACTATTAACGTTTTACAAAAAAAAAAACAGTTTTACCCTCCCTGATGCAGCAAACCTAAGTACTAGTTAAACTAATTCTATTTAAATTGAGAATAAATGTTATATTTTTAAGTAGACATTTCAGTGTAAATCCAATCAGTCAAATGGAAATTCGCTTAGTCTGCAGGTTTGCTGCGGCGGGGTATTTTATATTACCATAATATAGTATTTCTTGTTAGAAATTTGTTCAAACACTGTTGTTGTTGACGTGCTTGAATCCATCAAGGCCCCACTACAAAAAACAGGCCATGCTGCAGCACGGGTAGCGCAACACTACGTCACAGTAGTGGATAGTTGTACTAAACTCTTACCTTAAAATCTTACAAACAGCCAGCTTGTTTATTTACCTAAATCATATGGGAATGGTTATTGCAATGAATTTATCAATGAAATCTATCCACTAGTGTGACGTCATGGATCCTGCAGCATGGCCTGCTTTTTCTAGTGGGGCCTTGAATCCATCCTCCTTCAAATCAAACAAGTAACCTTAGATTTTAAGGCTAGCATTACAACCACTGAGCAAACCAAAACAGTCTGCAATTTATGACAATTATGTAAGTTTAATGCTCTCTATTATATTTGTTGGGGAATTTAATTTTCCCTTAAATTTTCTATAGCTAAGACTGCAGCTAAAAGAGTATACAATGAAACATAATTTTGACTATGGCTATAAATTTGTTTCAGTTCCAGAAGAAGTCAAACTGTTGAAAAGAGAACACTTTAACAGGTGGTATGGACTCAATGCTTACTTTTTTGCTGCGACTGTATCAAGGATACCAATTCAGGTTAGTGGGCAAGCCTTTAGATAATTAAAAGCAGTGGCGCTCAGGATTTTACTTAGGGGGGGGCATCCGTGGTTTCTGGAGGGTATGTAAAACCCCTCAGGGGGGAGGGGGGCCCGGGGATTCAAAAATTAGGTACATAAAACTATGTGTTTTTATTTACCTGAGACGTTATAAAACTTAATGTTATAAAACTTAGCTTTTTTAAAATTGATAAACATGTTTTACTGGGTTAATAAATTACAAATTTATAAATGTAAACCGAACCACACACCGAAAGTCACCGAAGTCTGCTGTGGTTAATGTTTCGGACAAACACTGGAATTAATGACGACCGAACTGCATAACATCGGCCGCAATTGACGATTGCAATGTAGTTTTTTGTGTTCTGTTAATTTTGAATGTTCAATACTTTTATGGACCACTCCTGAAAACCCTCTGGGTGGGGTCCTGTTCTTCCCCCCGTCGGTGCGCCCCTGATTAAAAGTACCCAATTACTCCTGGTTCCAACACCCTAGGTGGCTCTGGAGCCAATAAGGGGTGTAATAGATACCCATTGTATAAAGGTTAATAGGTCGAAGTGCATTTCTTTCCATGCAGTGCCAACAGTAGTAACGGTACCTATATTATTTTTGTGGTGCCAAGATATAAGCTAAAAACCAGTATGGTACCTAACCATGGTGGAAGGAAAAAACATAGGTGTGCTATTCCCACATATTCTGACGTCACTCGGATTGCAAACAAAAGATCACATGATTGTAACTGTCAAATTAGTATATGTATTTGTTTTGATTTGGTTGTTATTGTTTTTAGCGAATTTCCCATATAGGGAATAAGCTATTACCGTAGTACTCATGGTAAGACCTGGACGCGGGACCGATTTTTTTTTTCGTTTTTAGGTCCCTAGAGGCCAAAAACACAATCCGTTCAAATTCATATATATATATATATATATTTATATATATATATATATATATATATATGTGTCCGTCAGCACGATAACTCGAGCAAAAATGATCGGATTTTGATGAAATTTGGTATAAACGTGTAAACCTACGTTTATTCAAACGAGTTCGCGGTCCAGCATGATCGGACCATGGGAACGGGTGTTTACGGGGGGTTTTATGGGGTAAAAATAGGTTTTTCCCATTTTTGACCCAAAAAACATAAAATTTAGCAATTTATTTCCAAACCATTTTGTAGAGCTTAAAAAAACAAATAATTTAGTATATTGAAGCGTTATTATACGCCTAATGGTTACGGAAAAAATTCCAAAAAATTGTAAATTTAAAATTCCCATGTTATTCTTTTGGAGAATGAGTAAACTGTTGTAGTTTGCTTGTTTATGAACATATTTTGATCAAATTTGGAAAATGTTTTTATTTCTTACTAACTATTAACATTTTACAAAAAAAAACAGTTTTACCCTCCCTGATGCAGCAAACCTAAGTATTTGTTAAACTAATTCTATTTAAATCGGGAATAAATGCTATATTTTTAAGTAGACATTTCTGTGTAAATCCAATCAGTCAAATGGAAATTCGCTTAGTCTGTAGGTTTGCTGCGGCGGGGGTATTATTATTATAAAAACAATAATAATCAAATCAAAACAAATACATACTTATTTGACAGTTACAATTAGATGATCTTTTGTTTGCAATCCGAGTGACGTCAGAATATGTGGGAATAGCACACCTATGATTTTTCCTTCCATCATGGTACCTAACTTGCTTACAAGATAAGTGCTTGGTTTGAGTTGGGGGGGGGGGGGGGGGTTCTAAAATCGTACTAGGTTGAGTTCAAACCATCAGGTACTGAACGCTTTGTGATTGCTATTTCATTTTAATTAGTGTGTGTCTACTTGTGTTGGTTAAAAGGCAACAATTTTAGCAATTTAACTGAGGGTGAAGTATCCAAGAAATATGTTTACACACATCTCATCAAACCTGCAGGCTAAGCGGGATTCCCATGGCTATTACCTGATCTGGGAGTCATCTAGGCCTCTCCATCGTCACCTATCGCACAGTTCCTTTCCACCATCTTCTTGCTTTTCTCTTCTCCACATCCGTCTCCTCCTCTTCTCCCAGATCTTCCGCTCAATCTCCTTTTACCATCAATATCCATTTCCTTGGGGTTCTCTTTTCATACTTATCTTGTGTTCAAATATTCCTATTGCAGTACTTGGCAATATGATAATATTTATTTCCAAACAAACTCAAAGACACAAGTTCTTAGGTTTACCAGAAAAAAATGTCAAACGCTATTATGTTTCAGATTATCTTGGGCTGTATATACATCGCCCTTGCTTACGTCCTGACGGATCAGCCATTGGAGTGGGAAAGAGGCATCAAGTTTTGCGTCATCTGTCTCATGATGGGAATCATATCAGAGAGTCTGGGGCTGGCAATCGCCTCTCGTCTCAATATTGTGGTAATTATGTGAAAATTATTTAGAAATATTCGTTGTGGGTCCAGTTCATGATAAAATTATCTGCATCACTTAAGTCATAGACGAACAGAATAAATATAGACAGTCTGCTGTGCTGCTGTTAGCATAAGTTTTGGCGTCCACAGCTAGGTTTGGTGTGTATAGTTACGGCGTACACCGCTGCAGCATCTGGTGGTTACATCCACGTCTCCTGCGCTCTTTGCCTGCAGTGGAGTGAGCCGTAACTACATGGCACTTCAAGCGGTGGGCGCCGGAACCTTCCTTGTCAGTCTATATTTATTCTATTTGTCTATGCTTAAGGTTAAGCGAATAACTGTTTAAATGTGTCTAGCACTGAGTTGGTTCTGTCAGTCCAAATTTTTAGGATTGAGTAACAGGTTTGAGCTCTTATACACATCACTTAAAAATGTATATTCCTTTTGCAGTTTCTACCTAGCAAATCTTACAAACCTTCATCAACACAACACACACCTTTTACTACCACCATCATCTCAGTCTTATGGTAAAAACTCATCTTGTGAAGCACTCTACTTCAATATCTAGACCATCGCAAAAAAGTAATTCGTCAATTTCCCTCGCCAAGACAGCACTGACCATTGCTGCTAGAGATACCATACTAAACAACTGCTACAAGGGGGTCACCACAAAGGGACCACAAGGGGGGGGGGTGGAGGGGGTGTACTATTTTCAGAAATAATGTACAGTAAAGTAATTATTCATTGCCAACCTTTGTTTACACCCAATATATTGTTTCAGAATGGTATCTTTGTCGGCCCAGCACTCTCTGTTCCCTTCATGCTACTGTCAGTCTACGGCCTAGGTACGGGTAGTAAGCTGATTCCCACCCTCATCCGAGCAGCTATGTACTTCAGCTATCTTCGCTACGCCCTAGAGGGTCTCGTAGCCTCCCTCTACGGTCAAGGTCGTCCGACCCTCTACTGCCCCTCTACGGAGATCTACTGCCAGCTGAGGGAGCCTCGGGCTCTGCTCAAGGAGGTCGGCATGGAGGATGTCAACTACTGGATAGACTTTTGCGCTTTGATCATTTTCTTTTTCTTGTTCAAGGTGAGTTTTTGTTGTTAGAGAATTGATAAACTATGTTTTGTGAAATTGAAATCACTTGTAACAAAGTAAGTATACTGTAGTGTAGCCTATAGGCCTATGTTAGCAAAACTTTAATGGCATATTTTAAACATAAAACAATTAAATTCTGGGTGAAGTGCGTGCCACTTTTGGGTTGTTAGTCTAAGTCTTTTTTTAGACGAAACAATAACCAAGAGGTTTCTTTTGAATGTCAGATGATGAAAGTTGAAGCTTAACCATTGACTGATGGATAAGAAAGTACACATATAGACATATATGGACCAGCTGTCACCAATTTTTTATTAAAAAAGAACATAGTTCTATGAGTTAGTCATAGATTGCGCTAGTGTCTTAAAATTATATTTTTGTCTTATTCTTTGTTGCCGAGATAGTTGGAGCATTACGGATGATATAGCTTACAATAAGTCATCCTATCAGTTGACTTACAGTTGAAAACCCTGCATCGTCTGTCGGTGGCTCACGTCATCTACATCCATTTTTATTTTAAAACTGCTGGCGATAACTTGACAAGGGGAGAAATTTATAGTTCTATAATAGTGTAATTTAACACAGAATATCATATTTACTTTATAGAATTAAAACGATTTATTGCTCACCATTTAATGTTCCAGATCATCTCCTATATTTTACTGCGAAGTCGACTCTCCTCCACACAGAACTTCGGAGCTCTCAGCTACATCGGGCGTCTCATCAAGTCCCACTTCAGCCTATCTGCGAGGACATAGCCTCGCATATCTCAATCAGATCTCATTTTATCACCAAGGAGTATCTTACCAAGTTAATCAAAAACATTTACCAAGGGAAACTGTGCTCTTTACTTGCTCCATCTAGTAGGTTCCTAATTTAGTGTTTATTTTCTTAAGTTAGCCCCCAGTATGTATATTTATTGTGCTTATTGTTCTCAAGTAAGAAATTAGGTTAGGAAATTGAACTGTCCTTTTATCACATGCCTTATCTTTGTGATGTTAATTGTTATGTATTTTTATATTTCTAAATATTTTGTATACATTAAACATGTTTACCTGTTATTTGAAGTTATTATTTGTTTAAACCTAACTTAATATTAATGTTGTAATTATATAGTAGATGAGGGGCCCCACATATTATACTAACATGTTTGTAATTTTTAAACCCCTCCTCACTTGTGACTAAGCCTAAACCATTTTCCTTCCCCTGTAATGCAACACTGTCAGATAATGATTTTCTTAAAGAAAGTTATAGGGTAAGAAATATTTGTGAAATTTCTCCTAAAGTCAAAAATTGGTTTTAAAGTAATGTAATCTATAAAACAAACATATCAAGAAGAATTTTTAAAGTTTTATTTTAACACTGTTTAAAGATTAACTTTACAATAAAAACATGTAACATCAAACTACAAAATATCTCCTCTTTGTATGACCTACAAAAAAAGCTTGCTGCAATTCCAGAGCTGAAAGAGCACATCAGTTTGAAATGTAACAGATGGCGAGATGGGTGTTTGTTTGTAAATATTCAATTTCAAAACTAACCCATTTCATTTTGAAAATTATTTAAAATTACATAAAAATATTATAAGAAGATCAAATTTTGATAGAATGAGAAGTAAACCAGCAGCTAAATCATATCACGTTCACTTCAGTAAACACTCTTCTTCAAGGAAGAATCAAGATGACTTCAAGGATAGTTTTTATAATGATTTGTTTTCTTGGATAAACTTCAGACATTTAATCTCAAGCAATTCAATTCCAGAGGTTAATAAAGTGTACAACGTTTTCTCAGCAATGTTTCAAGAAAACAATGAACAAGTTGTAAAAAAACACAAGAAAAAATTTAGAAAACCCCCAAACCTTGTTAAAATTGATCTTGATAAAATAGAAACCAATCTAAAACTAACTGATAGAGAGAAAAGAAGGTTAAGGCATATAATTAAGCAAATAAAATATGAAGATGCAAATGAAGCGCCTAAAATAAAAAAAGCCGAGTATTCAAATATAAAACCAGTTTTGAGAAAAAGTAGGATATGGGTAGTTACTAAAAACAAAAGCTCAAGAGATGAGAGCAGGAGAGGGAAGCCAGTGGAGAAGCATATAAAAAGAAAACAAGAGAATCAGAGTAAATATTTCACTCGATGTTCAGCTTGCGACAAAGACAAAGCATCAGCAGCAAAGATTCAAAGTAGGTGTTTGAAAGATATCACACCATCTGAAGAACATATTTTCAAAGCTTTAATGAATATGGATCGAAGCTGCTGTGGAAAATCATTCAATTCATTGTTTGATCAGAAAACCAAAATGATTAAATGTGAGAAGCCAAGCATTAATATCGAAAATTTTGAATTTAAATACATCCAACCAACATGTGTCATACAATACAAAAAAAGCATGGAGAAGCAACCTCTGTTTTGTGCTGGTCAATCAATGACTCAACTGGTAAAAAAAGTCTCATCCTTATCATCCTTCAAACACAATGACACAAAGAACTGTTGTGTTTTAGACTTGCACGTAACTACTAATCCTAAAGATTTAGATTATGAAGAAAATACACGAAAATATAGCCACCATCAGGTAAAAGGAAACTCAAGAGAAAAATCCTTTTCTGAAGGTACATTTTTTAATATTAATGAAAACGGTGATTTGCTAACCTCTAATGATCACTTGAAATTGAAAACTCATAGATATTATAATGCACCAAACACAAATGATAGCACTCTTGTGAAGAAAGGAAAAACACATTCAGAACAAAGAATCGAAAAGAAGCACCCGTCCAAGTACAGAAGGTTAAAAAGGTTTGTGAGAAGATTTTTCTGTTTTTGTGGAACTGTAGGTGACCGTGAGAGCGTTTCTAAGCACAGCAGGAAAATAAGGGATGCAAATGCTAAATTTAAGACAAAATCAAATCCACCAGTAAAAAATATTTTTATTACCGAACAAGGGTTTCTAAATAGGAAAAGGGAAATGAGAAATATCTAAATTTATTTTACTTTCTGTATTTGTAAATTGTGTAAATTGATTCAATAAATTAAACATTACAACCTTACAGCGAAGATACGGTAGTTTATTTATTGTTTCGCCGCAAGTGTTTAATGGATTGTTTCTTTCCCTTCTAAGACTATAGTTAATATGTTAACACTAAGTCTTATAGTGTTATATAGTCAATGGTCTTATGCTTATGATTAAGAGCAGCCTCAGTGGCTTCAAAGAAAATTTTACAAAATATTGTCATGACTATACAGTACAATATTTGTGTACCACATAGCATATTAAAATACCACCACCGCAGCAAACCTGCAGACTAGGAGAATTTCCACTGGATTTTCACTGATTTTAATTTGTAAATTTTGCTGCCTGGTTGGATTTTTACTCAATAATATTTAATAAAAATTATTAAAATAAAACTGACAGCGACAGCTTTACACTGTCAGTTTTATTTTGTTCCCTAAATACTAGTTTTAACTACTAGTTATGTTTTTTAATAAAATTTAATAGGTAACTCGGTAATATAAACAAGTTCAACAAGTTGAAGAGGTACTTGATTAACATAGCCCTATTCCTGTTTTCATATTTCCCTTGGGCTTCCAAAAAGAGCAGAGGTTAAGAGGTAAGAGGTACAGGTTCTGCTCCCGAGAGATTCTAAAGATTTATGAAAATAAATACCACCGGTATTAGTATCTTTTTTTACAATTTTGAACTGATTAATGTTTGGATTAGGATTAAAAATAGATAGATGTTTTAAACTAAAAGATAAATGTATATTTTTAAACATTTAGGTGACTTAATGTTTACACTATTACCCTAGTAGCAAAAATATGTATTTTATAAATATTTTATATATTTAAAGTTGTATTTGATAGAACCTCGAATAAAATATAATAATATAAATATAATATATCTTTAATAATAGTTTGATATATTCAAATATATATTTAAAATATTACCAAAAAGCAATGCAAAATATAAATTAAATATAAGTTTTGAATATATAAAATATATTCATAATATATATTGATAAAACAAGTATAGAATCTATAATATACATATTTATATGTATATTTTTCCTATTAAATATTTAAAAAAATTATGTGTTGAGAATATTTTAAATATATATATAAAATATTTTTGAAACTATATTATATATTTAAATTATTTATAAATATATTTTGAAACACGTCAGATATTTTTTATTAATAAAATAATATTATATTTGTAGAATATATATCCTATAATCTTTTATAATTAACAAATAAATAATTTGCATCTTTTTGTTTTTCATAATGTCTATCAATTTATACATGCATTTTTTGCACTATTCACTACAGCACTATTCAACTCAACTACTTGATGCCAAAACATATTAACAGAATCATATTATACTGTAGTATCAAAAATATTTCAAGTATTGCAACCATTGCAACTGAGGGCCACTCTGTCACCATTTGAAAACTAAGGCTAACAACAGTCACAAGTAGCTCAGAACGCCTCTTTCACACGAAGCGGCGCGCGCCGTACGGCGTCCGCCGCGCGGCGCTGCGCCGGACAAGCGTGTGTCTTCACACTAGTACGGTTTCGTGCGGCGCGCGCCGCACGGCACTCCTAAATATTTATTATTTTCTGTCCAGTTGTGGCTTTTAAATGAATACTCCACTTAGAAGTTCAAATAAAATGAATGGGCTAGTTTTAAATATAATAAACTAGTGCACCTGTTGCTCGAATTTGAGCAATTGCAAAATATTAAAGGAGTTTTTTTACGAATAATTGTCACAATTTCCGTTGACGTGTGAGAGTCAACTCAAAGATAATGTAACCAATCACTCCACTCCAGTTATCGAAACTGGAAACGAACTCACTCTGAAAACGAACGCTCACTCCACTCCATCTATCGAAACTGAAAACGAAAACTCTTGCGTGTATCATGTGTGTACTATGGACAGCTGTAATTAATACAAATTATTTGTCTGTTTAACTAAACAAAATCTTGTCTTCATAAGATATACATTGGGATTTTGATGGCCTGAGGGGCAAAGCCCGAGGGCTTTTAGTACAGGAATTGGTGAAAGGGGGCGTGTAACACAACAAATACTTAATTTTGACACATCGTTTGTAAAAATCCGTCCATATTCTAGAAGTTAAAAAAAAGTTTCATTGCGTATAAATTACTAAATTATTAATTTAATACTAAATATTCTCCTCTAGGAATTAAAGGAAAAATTTTGTTTTGATACTTTAAGTTGGCCGATTTGCATGGGATGAACATAAAAATATATGTTTTGTAATAACTTAATGTATATTATTAATAAATATATTATTTTCCGATATATAATTTCCGAGATAATAATCCGATATATAAAACGATATATAATTTCGATATATACGATATATAGTTTGCCTAAATTGAGACAGCGTAGGGGTTGGGCCGTGCGGCGCGCGCCGCAACGTGTGAAAGCTCCCATAAGAACCAATGCACCTTCACCGAATTGTGCGGCGTCCGGCGCTGTCGTCCGGCTGAAGGTGCATCCGGCGGTAACTCGCGCGCCGTGCGGCGAATTCGCCGCGCGGCGCGCGCCGCACATAGTGTGAAAGGACTCATATACTCCCATAGCCCTACGCCGGATCCGGCGGGCGCCGAACGGCGCGCGCCGCGTCGTGTGAAAGAGGCGTTGGTAGGAGGCTCATAAGTCGGAGGACCCAGGTTCGAGACCCACCCGGGATGAAAAAATTTTATCCAGTAATTTTTTCAAAATTTGTTTTTATGAACTATTTAATCAATTTACTCAACTGATAATTGTGTTTTTCATACTAAATCTTTATTATTTTGTGTTTTTATGTTTAGGCCCCATGGGATGTTTGGAAGAGATATTAAATACATTTTTTATTTAAATATTATTCACTAAAATATATTATTGGAACATATTTTTTTAATATTTAATAGATTCAAAAACATATTTTTTATATATTTAATATATTTTAAATATCATATAAAATTGACATTAATACACACTTGAGATATATAAAATAGATTTTAAATACATTTATTCATATGTATTTAATATATATTTGTGCTACTAGGGTATTTGCGTTTTCATTCAATTTACAAACTAAATCTATATATTAATAGGCAAGCATATGTTTCTTTAAAACCTTTTTTCTCAGCTCATGTGCATCGTAGTATAAAGTCAATGATTGTAAGGAAAATCTACGCATACTGTTAGAAAGATATTTTTTGTAGGTGTGCAGAATCCCTTTATAAATTAAACTAGACTCAAAAAAAGCACAAAAAATGAATTCGAAATTTTAAAAATTTACATCGGTCCTTGTGGGTTACCATGCTGGTGACGAAATAACAACGATATATAAACATAAACTCAAAACAAATGGAAGAAATTCCAATCACATGTCTTATTTACAGCTCGGGGTGAAGTCTGTACATTTGACTTGCTGCAGTACGGACTTAAATAGACATTCCATCCCCATGTTGAAGTCATCACCAGTTTTTAAAATTAAATTCGTCGTAGTTGATGTGAGCCACATCAAAAGATTGCGCTGATCTAAATTACAAATTTTTGTCGAATAAACAATGTTTTTTACCAAGTCAACTTTTGAAATTACTTATTATGAGCTATAAGTTAGCAACTGTTATGACCCATCAACTTCGTCAGAAACAAAAAATAAGGTAGAAAATAGAATTTTAGACACGCATTCTGTATGGGTCACACAATTACGATGTTTTATAATTAAATAATTGACGACAGCTGATGGTTATATTGATAGGAAGTCTACTTCAGTAGGTAATAGTCAATGCGTGTTCATTACATATTTTTGGTCGAGTTTTTGACCACTGGATGACCACTAGTTTCAATTATACCACAGTTTTTATGTCCCCCAGGTAGCTATACTACCGCATTCTACTACTTAAATTGTCTTCCAATATTTACATATGATGATGCTAAAACTACTTAGGCCTATACTTATTTAGTTATTTGGAATACTGTACCTACTCAGCTAATGTAGAAGAAATTAATTCCACCGTGATACTACCTACCTTTTTTTCAAAGATTTTGCTTCGAATGCGATTAATTCTTAAAACTGTACATCTTTTGTTAGAATTTGAGGTGTTTATAATTTTATTTCATGAACAGAACTATTTTTTTCGATTTTTAAACCTTCATTAGATTTTTTCATTATCAGTGGGTTTGGTTAGTTAGGTTAGGCTATGAGAGTTTAATTTTACAATATTAGTATACAAGTTAAAAATATCGATTAAATCGATTAAAAATTTGATCAAAATGTAGCATAAACAAGCACTGGTGTTTTTTATATACCGTTTTATTAGTTATTGTAAAACAATGTTTACTATACAAAATTTTTCGACATTTTAAGCTTTTACATGATGGTTTCAGTAATAATTGGCAATTTCAATTTTTGGTATTGGTCAATAGGTATTTGAAAAACCCTAATTTTTGAAAAAAATTTTAACTTTATAACCCCGTTTCTATGACCCAATCTTGCTGGTCGCGAACTATATCACATTTATGTGAAATGAATACACATAATTATAATACTCGGCATCGGAACTACCCAGCCATTCAGTCAGAGGCATAATTTAGAGTTTTGTAATAAAAAAAAACCCCACCGCTGCAGGTATTAGGTTTTTTTTATTCTCTGCCTAAAAATATTATGGAAATTAATAATACTAAGACATCTATAAGAAATTGAAAATATTTATAATGAGCAAATGTTACTACTCATTTAGTGAGCATTTTAATAATATGTTATAGAAGCACCGGTGATAAGAAGACAGAGACAAACGTCATAGACCACTTTGACCACCAGTCTAGACTTTCAGCCCGGTCACGATCGGTTGTCAATGTCCCTTCGTGTTTTTCGTGTTTTTTGTAATGTGTGTCCGTTCCGTGTATCGTGTTTTGTATATGTCTTATTTATTGAGCTCTGGTTGTTAACGATCTTCGAATGAAGTGATTACTTGACATCTTGAGGCCTGAAGATGGTTCATTAATGAACCGAAACTAGTTGCCAAATTCAGCAACAAAGGATTACTATATGCAGGTATTGTAAACCATTTTAAGTAAATTTAGAAGTTAGTGATCAATGCTTAACGTAAGTGATTCAATTCCGTAGAGTGGTTATCCGGCTGCTGCCAACCTCCACACCTGTTGCTAACTGAAACAGCTGTTTTTGTTTATTGTTTGTGAACGCTATTGTGTTTGTGTTTGTTCTGTCTTTGTGAGATAAACAAACAAAGCGAGCTGACAGCTGAAGCTGAGTCTGTACACTGTAGTTTGTATAGGTTATTTAGTTTATTTGAACTTTTAAGTTGAGTTTAAGTTTGTTTATTTAGTTTAAAGTGTTTGTACAACTGTAGATATAAATACTCACTACTCATTCTATACATTCTTAACTGTTAGAGTAGAGAATAAGATTTACAGTTCTTTACTCTCTTATCATCATACCGGCGGATTAGTTAGTTAGGCCAACTACTTAAATAGATGATTAATCTGTGAACGTTTTAAAATGATTGTTAATAACCCATAAACCTGGATGGAAGTAGCTCGTGCAAGTGAATTTCTAATTGTTTCAGAAACAACATGATTTACAATATAGATGAACTAGGTCTATGCTCTTCTCCATTTTGGGTAAATAAATTACCTAAGTTATTATGCTATCTTTTAGTATAAATATTTTTAAATCTCTGTACTTTAGTTTACGTAGGCCTACCACATTCATTCGATTGCAATTTTCGATTAAAACTATCGATAGGCCTTATATAGATTATTTCATTCAATTGTAAATAAATATCCCTATTTAAGTTAATGAAGCATCGGTTGTTAAGTTATCAGCTGTTTTTAGATCACATATTGGGTTCTCAGAGACCCTCCATCAAAAAAGGGGACTGACTGTCGTAATACATGTAAGTACTGTAAGCTTATGTAAGTCTCGGAATACTCTGATCTAAACTCATTAACTTACATAACTAACCAAACTTTATAAATAATCAATTTATCGATAGTTTTTTTTTAATCGAATAACTTATATAGGCCTATATCAAAAATTTCAATCGAATGAATGTGGGGGCATAAACTAAAGTGCAAGGCAACCTTTAAAATTATAACTGAATCATCATCTTATTTGTATTTGCACCATTTTTTCATTGCTATTGCTATTTTGTGATGGACCATGTCCCTTGATACAAATTAGTTACTTGATACTGTACTTGAAGTAAGCCTGTTGGTTGTTCATTTACACTTTACGGTTTTCATAATATTGTGTTTGCATGGCATTTTGGATTACTCTAAGAGCTTAGGCAAAACATTGATATCTTACTCGTATTATGGAACATATATGAGTAGAAGTACCTATCAATTCGATCAATAAACTTAGCCTTGCCAAAAACTAAAAAAACGTTCTTTAATGATTGTAAGAATTGATAACTAAGCATAATACAGTGGAGTCGGATATCAAAGTTTTGCCACAGCTTAAATGTTCTTATTAAAAACAATTGACAACAGCTGGTTCTCATGGATGGTATTACTATGCTACTTCAGTAGGCTATCCAAAAGTCAATGATACAAACATAGTTCAACTCCATTGTGGTCTGTTTAATATTGTGTGTTTTTTCCAGGATGCTAACTTAACTTGGCACTCTGATGTCCCGGATTTGACTCCGTGTTTTGAGGAGACTGTTCTAGTTTTGTTGCCGGGACTATTTCTGCTCTTTCTCCTTCCTCTCGACTGTTGGTGGATCCGGCAATGTTTCTACAAAGACATACCATGGTCATGGCTCAGCTTATCCAAAATTGTAGGTTTAACTCTTTCTGTCTTGCATATGATTTAACAGGTAGGATTTTTACAGTAGGTATTGCCTATGAATCCAATTTTAGAATAGCCAAGAAAATAAAAAAAATCTTTCTTGTAAAAAGTTTTTTTAGTAGGCTAACTCCATTGTCCATGGATTAATCTAATAATCTTTGTAGATTTTTTTTATTTTTATGGATCAATTAAGTTAATTAAGTTAATTGAATTCCCTTCTTTCGTGGGTGGGGGAAGGGGGTGGGGCAGTATATCTTGTTCCGAGTGGCAGGAAAAAGGATCTTCTCTAAAAAAATTACTGTAAAATGTTTTACGACATGATTGATGGCTGTCTAACGCCAGAATTAATCTAAGGGGCCAGTCCTCCACCTAAGCCGTTATGTACAAATTTGTGTTTACCTCAGAATTGACCGCAGGTGTTGTCAGTTAAAATCTCCAATGTAAACATGGCTTTTAACGAGTGCTATAAATATATGTTTACAAATTCTCTTGGAAAGCAAAATTTCTGTTAGGCTAGAAAATGTTGAAAGCATTTTGGCAAAACTAGGGGCTTTTTAATTGTTGTAAACCCCAGTGTAAACGCAAATCAATTTTTCCAACAAGATAAAATTTTTCCTCATGATAACAAAATACTTTTACTTGGCATTAAGTTTAACAAGTTTTTTTTACTGTTTCAGCTTGTTTTAGCTCTGATGATGGTAGTCATCACCATCAAGTTTATACATTCTGCTCTGAATAACAATACTTATCCAGCAGAAATTATTTCTCCGGTGATACAGTTTTTGATTTTTGTAAGTACTATTTTTCATTCTGCACTTGGTTATTGGTTTTATAGGTTACTCTACCTTAAGTTTTCATCATTATTCTTCTAGTCATGGCCTAAATTTCGGATTGAATATGAAGTTGGTCAGGGTTTTAATTTGTTAATTATTGTTTAATTTATTGTATTTTTCTTATTGTTTATCTACTTGCAAAGTCAGTACTTAACAAATTTTTTAGTAAAATAAACCCTCCTACTGCTTCAAGGCCATAAGAGCAAAGATTCTAGCAGGAACTGCAGGAATAGAAAAGATCCCGAAGGTCTTTAGTTATCATGACTTTTGGTACTAGCGACAAGGATTTACTCTGTAATTTTTGCTGTCAGAATATTAATGGAAATTACCTTCAGGATGTGAACCGATTCAGTGAGCCATATCGAAACAGTATTTTCACTAAAATTCCTCCTGTTTGTTACAAGAACCTTTAAACAAACTTATAAAAAGTGTAGGTATCTTAGAATATAAATTGTATAGCTTAAAAATTAAAGAAAACAACAATTAAAAAAAAAATTACTGCAAAAACATATACATTCTACAGGTTTAGCTTAAGATACTCTTAGCTTATCACATACATAATTTGCAAAATGCATTAAGTATACACTATCAGAGGCGGATCCAAAACAACCTGACTTGACACCAGATAAAGTGTATTTTTCACAAAAAAATATTTTAAAATTATTTTTAAACCAGTACAGAAAATCCCAATTTTCTTGGGGGAGAAACCCCCGAACCCCTCTTTTCACTGGTGGGTATCCCCTCCCAAATATAAATTCTGGATTCGCTTCTGTACACTAATTGCATACGGTAGCCTAACATTCGAACCGTTACGATTTGCTCTCATCTCGAGGATGTAACTATGTATTAACATCTTTAGGGAACTCTTTCTGAAAGCAACAGTTTAAAAAAAACATTATTCTAAAGGCTCGTTTTTGTTTTTCTTGTTTTTTTTTACGCCATTATGGAACTTTTTTGATCAAGTAAATTCAAATCAAACACTTTTAACGGAAAGAGTTCCAAAGTTTTTGATCTGAGGAAGAACACAGTTTAGAGAACAAAAAATTTGTTCTGCAACAGACCTAAAAATGTCTCAAAATCTTCCTGCAGGGCTTTTACATTTGCTTTTGAAATATTTTCTGATTAACACACAATTTTGTTTCAGGGAACCCTTTTAAATTTGGTGTTGCGTCATAAAAGCCGAGGTATCCGAGCCTCTTATACCTGCTTTTTGTGCAGTCTGGTTTTAGTTGCTTGTTATACACCCCGTATTTACTCACTCGCCAGATTGTACATAAATAGTGTAAGTATCATGTTTACCGTAGTTTTAAATAGGATTAATTTGAATTAGTAGGCCTAAGTAAATCATACGAAGTAGTTTTTATATTAATGATCATTTAGTTGCTAAGCTTATGGTTTGTTTGTAAAGGTTTTTTTTTGCCAGGAAATATTTATAAGTATAGTGAAGATTTTATTGAAATTTTAACCCCAAAATGAGTTTAGAGCACAATTTTGATTTCGTCAATACCAGTGGCAGTTTTTGATCTGTGAACAAGGGGACCCAAGGTTGGTTTCCCATATTTTTTAGCAGTCCTTAAAAAAATCTTGGTTTTGATCCGTTTAAAATTTATTTGTGATAGATTAATAATAACTACAAAAATGTGTAGCCTATTTGATACATTTTTAGTTATTTTAAATGTTAGGATAATTAAATTTTTGTTGTTGCCAAAAGTATTTTCTTTTACAAATTTCTATTTGAAATGCATCATATGATAAGCTGACAATTTGATATTTTACTATTACAAATATGTTAATTCGTGAGGTTTGCTAACTCTTATTGCTGAAAGCATTCCGCAGTCCTAGAATCTTTTAAATGTGAAATAAAAGCACTTTGAGAACATTTATTCAGTTAAAGTCCCAAACTATCTATAGCTATTGCATTGCAGCCTGACACAGTGCGTGATAGTCAAGTTTTATATGGGAGTCCCATGCAGATTATATGGGAGTTTCGCCTAGTATCTACAGAGTCCCCGCGTACTACCTGTTGCAAAAACATATTATCACCCATCCTAAAAATATTGACCCTGCTAACTGTTATGTACATTCAAATGCAGGAATAAAAATCAGATTTAAGTTAATCATTACTATTTTTACTTTTGTCTTAAAAATGGGAGGACTCCATCCCAAAGTCCTTATGGACCAGCCGCCACAGTTTTAAAGTGAATACTAATTTTTGACCCAAAGAGCAGGAGTATTTAGCCTATGCAGCTGAATGTCCATCCTACTCACAGAATAATAAAGTAGGCCTACAGTACCCGGTTGAAACGGTTTTTGATTCAGAACCGCAGGTTCAGAATTAGTTTATTTGTCTACGCATTGGCATTTAAATTGTTTTGTTGAAAAACGTTCCAAACTTTTAATTATTTTTCATTCTATTTTATTTTTTTATTATTAAAACATTTTAAGTATAAGAAAAAAAAATTTCATTGTTTTCAGGCTCTACAAGATGTTTTATCAGCCAAAATTAGCATTTTCTTGTACTTTCTACTGTGGGCATTCTTCATTCTCCATTGGTTTTGTGACAAAGAACCAAGATACAATATATTTCCCAGCTTGGAGGTAAGAAATTCTGTTGTAAGAATTGAGCCCAGCTAGCTTACTTGAGTCCAGTAGATATTAGATATACAAAAATCACAAAACCCGACACCAATGTTTCATCCTAATATGAGATTTTTTCTTTGAAGCAATCGTCTCCAAATTTTTAAATACCATTTACCTTTTCCCACTCTTAACCCTCCGTCGGTGACACCACTGAGTTTTCCTCCGGGCGCCTTTGTTTTTATTTTAAAATGTGTGATACACATTTAATACACCAGCCAGCAGCTTTAGGAGTAACAGTACCTTACGTGCATCTTACCTGGAACCGAATCACCGATTGAACATTTTGATCTAACACCTCCCCCGCAAAACCCCTATTAATCACTTGAAGCCCAAAGAGTCATGTAGCATGGAGCCCAGGTCCTGTTGTTTTTGTTTGCTATATATTTTAATAAAATATGTAAATTAAGCATTTTAATTGATTTCATGTACAATTTTATTATTTATACATTTAAAAATATTTATTAGAAAAATCACAAAGTTCTACAAAATGGCATAAATAACTTGCTGCATAAGCCAGGAAAATCTGGCTTGTCTGCAGCTTAAGGAGAAAACTGGTTCTTGATAACAATCTACTTTGTCCTTGGTCAGTCCTTATCACAACTTTGGTTTCTAGTTAAGATCTTCTTTCACTTTTGTTTCCACTTATATACTCTACCTTTCTGTGACAACTATATTATATTTAATATTTATATTTAACTATATTTAGGCTTATATATAAGCCTAAAATTAACTTGCTTTAACAAAAACTTGAAACATTTTTGTTTAAGGAAAGGCTCTAGGCCAGGATTTGAAATTGTAGAAAAAGGAGGATAGCAGCTAGCTTACCTTGAAAGTGTGGGTAGGTCATAGAACAAGTAGGAAAAACACTGTGCACACAATATTTCGTCCCCTAAGGGACTTTGTCAAGTGTAGAGAAAGAGTTTATAAAGTGTACTTTGTAATTGTGTTGACAAAGTCCCTTAGGGGACGAAATATTGTGTGCACAGTGTTTTTTCTACTTGTTTGATGGCCTACCCACACTTTCAAGGTAAGCTAGCTGCTATCCTCCTTTTTCTACAATTTAAAAACTTAAAACAATTACTGTACCTAAATAATAAGGGCATTAATTTCCCCTATTTACAATGTGAATAGAGTAAATATAATAATTTGTTTGCAAGACTTGCTTTTTCAAAATTAAGTGATTCAGTTTTAAAGTGTTCCCATGACCTAATTAAAGTGTCAATAGATTAAGTGAAGCAATTGTAAACAATGACCTCTACAATATTTTGAGAGTCATTGTACTTCTGATAACTGTGGTGGTGTAAAAAATATTATTTTGTTTTCTAAATAATCAATCAACAAATTTCATTGATTTAATTTTAATATTAGTATGGTACACACATTATGTAGTGTAATGGTTTATCCAAAGATATTGTAACCTAATGATTCTCATGTTGTTAAATAAATGCTAAAGTGGTGTGATTATCAATTTTCACAATAAACTGGCACTGTTGTAGATTGTACGATATTCCTATCAGCTAATCACAGCCTGATCCTGAATCGCCTCATCCGCCTTCTGCTTGACCATGTCTACCATGAACCATACACGGCTATGTTGTGTGATAACAGTGTTTCTGTAATGTAACTGAAGTCTTTACATTCACAGACACTTACCCTAGTTTGCTATGGTATCTCACAGTAGAATCAAAGTATGTTAGAGTAAATTTTATCACTACGACCTTAAGTGATTCCATTCTGTTCATCACCAGCTCAATTGAACAACCTATGTAATGGTTACTTCCCTCTTTCCCTGCTCTTGCTAGTGGATTTTTTTTTCTGAAACAAAGATCTTATTTTTAAAAATCTAATTAACGGAAATACACCCAGTTGCTTCTCAAACTTTCATTTTTAAGTTAAGTTTCAAAATTTCCATCAATCCTGGATTATTTTGGACACAGTAGGGTACTTTTTATTTTCAACCAAGTGTTGTACTTGCATCCCAAAAGACCTGAGACGTTAATTCTCTTTCCAGAAGGCCAACCCTGAGCTGTCGGCCTCAGTGCCCTCCAGAGTGGCCCTGTCATGGTTCACCCCCCTGGTACGCCTCGGGGCTCGTAGACCCCTGGAGACCTCGGACATGCCTGACCTAGAACCCCTCAACTCTGCCAGGGTGATCATACCTAGGTTCCTGTCACGCCTGTCCTCTCAGCACAGAAGGTGAGGGAAACATGGTGGATGGAGTAGGTAGTTATCAGACAACCTTTTTGATTTACAAAGTTTACTTTGCAATAAAGGATACATGCAACACATTAATAACCTGCAATTAAATATAGAGACGTTCTACTAAGGATTTAACACAAGACACAAGGGCATGATTTTAAGAATACTAGTGTCCCTGTTGCTCGAATCCGAGCAATTGCTTAGTATTACAGGCGTTATTTTAAAACGAATAACAGTCATAATGTCTGATGACTTTAAAAGATTTGACTCAAAGATTATGGAAATACTCAAGATGTACATAACAGATCGATATAATCAACATTTCTTGTTATCAGTTTTCAAAAGATGATCTTGTTTTTTAGTGTTTTCTACAAATAGCCTTACTCATAGCTATATGAGGTTGTCCATAATTACGATTATAAAAAAAAAAACATCATTTCTATTTCTTCTCCTTGGTGGTGTTCTATAACTTTCCTATGTTTCTATAGTTTGCAAATAGGCTCTTTCAATGATTACTAAGAAATGCAGCACAGTGTTAATTAAGTTTTCTTTTTAGTATATTAATTTATCCAGGCACTCTCGCTTTTTTCCATTTTAATATGTACGCCAACCCAAATTCAAATAGTGAGTATTATTTCATTTCAACCAAATCAGTAAATGTTTGTAGCAAACTGTTAATTTAGCAATTTT